AGCAGCGGGGCGGGGGCAGCCGCGCCGCCCGCCGGGCGCGTGTACATGGTGTGGGGGTCGTGTTTGAGCCCAGCCTCCAGGTGACCGTCCCTCGGGCCACACCAAGCAGGACACAGGCAAGGCTGCCCTCAGTGCCCGCTTCCTGGCCCTCCTGAGCTGGGACAAGCCTGCAAACCACTTTCCGCTGGAACTTACCTTCGCGAGAAACAAGGCCTGCAAGACGGCGCCACGGGGCAGGCGGCGTGGCCCCAGGAGAGGCCTCTGCAGGGCTGAGGGCGGCCCCTCCGCGACCAGGCCGGGCAGGGTGCCGGCCAGACAGGAGGCAGCAGGCCCCTGGGAGGGCCCCGCCCGGCTGAGCCTGATGGAAGCGCGCGCAGCCCCGCCCCCAGCAGCACCACCCACCTCTTGCGCAGCGTGGACTCGCACACCTTGACCACACTGATGACCTCTTTGATGGTTCTCCGGAAGTCGTGCATCCTGGCCGCCACGAGAAGTGCTGGGGAGGAAGACGGGGGCCTGAGCGGCAGAACGCGCTGCGCACCGAGCCGGCGCCCGGGCCGGCCCGCGCACGGGGGTTCCCTGCCGGGTCAGGGGCCCCCACAGAGCCAGAACGGAGGCCACGCACAGGCTCCGCCCGCGACTGCCGAGATTCAACAAAGCGCACAACGTGCTGCATCAGACCCTCGGAGGTAAGCACAGGGGAGAGAGGGCACGTTTTCTGAGAACTGCATGTAACCCCTGGAGAGAGGACCCGCTAACTGAGGTGCCTGTGTGGGAAACGCTGGCTGGTGAAGGAGCTGAGGATCCAGAGGGACGGGGACAAAGGGGGCGGGCCCGTGTGCCGGGCGCGGTGACCACTGCTGGGCGAATGGCTCTGGGCCACAGACTCAGGGGCCAGGCTTCAGGCGGGAAAAGACGATCTGCGAGCAGAGCTGAGCCTGCCAGCGGCTGAGCATGAGCACATGGCCCCTGGCATGCAGAGAGGAGTGGACCTGCGGACACTGGGCAGAGAGGAAGAACGAGGGCCCTGCCAGCTGGAGGGGCCGGGTGGGTGGCAGGTCCAGGGCCACCAACAGGCCCAGCGGCCCCTGCAGGTGGCTGCCCCCGGGGGCCAGGAGCCTCAGCCGTCAGGCCCCAGGCCCAGGGTAGGGAGCCTGGCAGTCCCGCCCCTGCCCCAGGCCAGCAGAGGGCAGCGGGGGTGGGAAGGCATCCTCAAGGGCACAGGAGGCAGCTCTGGGGACAGCCCGGTGCCCGTCCCCTAGAGGCCAGCGGCCAGGCCAGCCTGACTCCGAGGCCCCCACCTGCCCCGCAGAGGCCCGAGGGGCGCCGGCCTGTGTGCATCCAGTCCCTCTTCATCCTCTGCAGAAGCCTCAGGGCCGTCATGGACACCTCGTGGTTCTTCTCACCAAACTCCAGCAGGTGGGCGAAGCGGGGGATGTACAGGCACGGGTCTGCGGCAGAGACACGTCTCAGCGCCCACCCCGCACCCGCCGCCTCGCCACCGCGCCCAGCACCCCCAGCCCAGGGCCACCCTCACCGGGCCTTTCATCACCCAGGCTCCCAGAAACATGCAGCCTCCCTGACCCGCAGGTGGGGCCCTCACCGCACGCCCCCTCCCACGGCCAGCGGCTGCTGCTTCGCTTGGCACTTCGCGGCAGGCGAGGGAGGTCGAGCTGATTTCTAACGCACTTATCGGCCGACATCCCTCCCTGTGGAATGTCGGCCTCTGTCTTCCGCCCTTTTGTCTACAGGTGCACACGTGCGTCTCTTCGCCTAAGTGCCTCCTCGTTACTCGGGAACCCAGGCACACGGGTGTGCACACACAGACCCTCGCCCTGCGGCCAGGGCAGGCTGGGGCCAGGCTTCCTGGGCAGCAGCACCAAGTCCCCTAACAGACTTGGCTGACGACTGTGACAGCCGCGGCGGCGTCAGGGCCACGCAGGGGGATGATACAGCACAGGGGCGAGACCTTCGGACAGGGTTGTCCAGCAAAGCCTCACTCAGAGGGCCGCTGGGGCGGGGGCAGAGGACGGAGCCGGGGCCGGCGGGGGGCCCCGGGAGGCCCAGAAGCGGTGGGGGAGCTCGCCACCCCCCGCAGCAGCAGGAAGCCGTGGGCAGCCCCTCCGCGAGGGCCTCCGGCACTGAGCTCCGGCCCCGCGGCCCCGGGGCCCCACAAGCACCTGGCGCCTGCTGGCCATGGCTCGCGCAGAAAACCCAGGGACGGCTGCTGAGGCCACGGAGGCTGGTGGCAGCCCCAGAGGCAGCCCAGGAGCCCAAGCGACTGAGTCGGCCCGAGTGGCACGCTCCTCGCTGACTGGCGGGCACCGCCCCTCGGTGGTCCCGCCAGGGTCGTCATCCAGCCGACGCAGGCCGCAGCGGTGCCCCTCCCCCTCCCAGGCGAGCAGGCGGCAGGGAGGCCCACGGTGCCTGAGGCCACATGGCCACGCGGCCACCAGGAGGCCAACTCAGGTTGAGGCTGGACAGCCCCCGTCTACCTGGGTGTTTTGTTTTGGATTTGCTTTTTTGTTTTGTTTTTGGTGATTTTTACTAAAACAATATTTTTGGGAGAAAACCCAGATATATTTTATAAATAATACAACTGTTAAGGTTTCTGAGTGGTTTAAAATAAATAAACCATCACAGCTGGGGTTTAAAGGCAGCGTAAAAGATCTCCTCCTAGTTTGGGTGGGACTCTGACATAAGTTTAAAAATACTGCTGCCTTGGCTTGTGTGGCTTAGTTGGCTGGAGAATCGTTCTGCAACCAAAGGGTCACAGGTTTGATCCCCGGTCCGGACGCATACAATCCCCCTTCAGGAGCAAGCAACCGATGCTTCTCTCTTGCATAGATGTTTCTTTCTCCCTTCCTCTCTCTAAAAACAGCAATGAAAAAAATGTCCTCGGGTGAAGACCAAAATAAATAAAGATAGTGGTAAAACATTCAAGGCAAACCCAGCAGCAAAGGGGGCGGTGCTGGGAGGGACAGGGACAGTTCAGCTGAGAAGGAAAGGGGCAGGCAAGGGAGAAAGCAGCAAGCCCCAAACCCAGATCGCAAGGCCCCAGTGCCGTGTCAGCCCGCAGACGGAGACAAAACTCAGGGGCGGAGCCTGCAAGCGGCACTCAAAGTTGATGCCGCAATGCAAACACAGAAGACTGCGCCGAGCCCCCCAAGCCGGGGCGCCAGGACGGTGGGCTGCAGCGGGGCGAGCACAGCCACGGCCACAGGAGCCGGGCAGGGGCCGGGCGGACACCGCAGGGCGCAGGGAGAGCACACCCCTCTGGGGAGGCGAGACAGACTCCCGGAAGCAGGCGGCAGCGGAGCAGGCGGTGAGGGCTGGGAGCCAGCTGCAAACCCCAGCGACGCGCGGCTTTAACACAGACCGCACGCTGGACAGACTGCGGGGAGAGGGCTCAGGGTCTGGGAAGTGGGCACCCCCCCACAGCGCACGGGGTGCGCGCTGTACAAGAATCAGCCCTGGCCGGGCTGCTCAGTGGGTCGGAGCGCTGTCCTCATACACCCAGGTTGTGGGATCGATCCCTGGTCGGGGCCCATACAGGAACCATCCAATGATGCATCCATAAGCAGGACAACAAATCGATGTCCCCCACAAGAAAATCAATTAAAAACCTATACAATATATGTATTTCAAATTCAATGCCCTACAAACAGCAATCATGCCTCTCCAAAGTCTGTGGGGCAGTTCTGAAAACTGTTAGAGGACAGGGAAGCCCTCGATTCATCTGGGGAACATCATCTCACAGGGCGTGCCCTTTGACCTCAAGTGCAAGAACACTAAGCATGCCCTGGCTGGGTGGCTCAGCTGGCTGGAGCACCGTCCCGTAGGCCAGGAAAGGTTGCTGGTTCAGCCCCCAGTCCGGGTGCACGTGGGAGGCAACCAGTCGATGTCTCTCTCTCTCTCTCAAATCAGTAAACGTATCATTGGGTGAGGATTAAAAATAAGTACTAAATATCAGCCAAGGAAAGATAAACATGGTCTCCTCATCTCCAAACAAACTACTACGAAATTAGAGAACAAACTTAGACTTAAATGTTTTGTGAAGGAAGAAATATGCCCTGGCTGCTGTGGCTCGGTGGGCTGAGCACCGACCTGCAAACCAAAGGGCCGCTGGTTCGATTCCCGGTCGGGGCACAGACCTGGGCTGCGGGCCAGGTCCCCAGGAGGGGGCGCGTGAGAGGCAACTACACATCGATGTTTTTTTTCTCCCTCCCTTCCCATCTCTAAAAATAAGTAAAATCTTAAAAAAATAAATAAATAAATAAAGGTTACAGTTCGGCGGATGGAACATTGCCCCGGTGGCCGGTTTGATCCCCAGTCAGGGCACATACAAGAATCAGCCAACAAATGCATAAATAGGTGGAACGACAGATCAATATTTCTCTCTCTTTCCTCCCCCCACCCCCCAAAATCAATACGTAAAAAACAAAAACTAACAAAAGAGCCCTTGGGCAGGTGGCTCCGCTGGTTGGCGTCCGCCCAGACCCCAAAAGGCTGTGGGCTCAATCTGGGTCAGGGCTTCCACCTCCGTTCAGCGCGCATGCAGGAGGCAAACGCTCCATCTCGCTCTCTCCCCCACCCCTCCTCTCCCTAAAAACAAAACAAAAAAAGTCAATAAACATATTCTCTGTTGAGAATTTTAAAAGAGTAAAAAAATAAAAGGCCCGGGGCATGAGGAAGGCGCGAGATGGCAAACAGGCCCACGGCCAGGTGTGGACTCACTGGTCATCAGGGAAATGCGGTCGCCGCCCGCCCGCGGGCTTAGGGCGGCCCCCTGGGTCCACGCGCGGCCTGCTGCCGGCCACAGCACCCCTGCGGGACACAGCGCGACCGGCCGCCCCGAAGCCGGCGCGCTCCAGGAGAGGGGCCGGGGGCGTGCTCGTCTGCGCGGGGCGGGGCCGCGGGCACGTACGTCTTCCGCGCTGGGCGGCTGGGGCGGGGCGGGCCGGGCTCCGTGACGCGCAGTGACGCGCAGGTGAACGGCGGGCGCCCCCTGCGGCCGGGCGGCGGGGCGAGGAAGCAGCGCCCGCTGCGGCCCCATGCTGCTGCCCCTGGCCTGTCTGCACGGTCGGGTGACACAGTGTCTCACCGCGCTCCTAGTGCTGGCGGAGCCGCCCCCGAGGCCCGGGCGCGGCGGGAGGGCGCACGGCGCACCGCCCCCGCGCGCGGAGGCCGCCCTGCCCGTGAAGATGGCCGCGGAGCTGTACGCGCCCGCCAGCGCCGCGGCCGCCACCGCCACGGACATCGCCAACAGCAACGCCGCCGCCGCGGGCAGGAAGGGCCTGCCCAGCGCTCCACCGCCGGCTGCGCCCCCGCCTGCACCCTCGCCGCCCGCGCCTGACAACAACAACTTGGAGAGCCCCAACTGGCAGTCCTTCCACCCGACGCTGCGCGAGAGGTGAGCCCGGGCCGCTGGGCCTAGAGCCCGCGGCCCGGCCCCGCCCCGCCCCGCCCCGCCCAGGCCCCTGTCCGGAGCCGGTCTTTCAGCTCCTTCTCCCGAGCTGGGGCGGAGCCCAGCGTCGTCCTGCGCCCTGAGCCTCGTGTCTTTCCGCTTCACAGGAACGCGCTGATGTTCAACAACGAGCTCATGGCCGACGTCCACTTCATTGTGGGGCCCCCGGGCGGCGCCCGCAGAGTGCCTGCCCACAAGGTTGGTGGAGGCTCGGCCCTTCGAGCTCCCCGAGCCACGCACCATTTCCTTTTTAAAATATGACTGTCTTCTACCCTGGGTGGGGCCCCGCTGGGGCAGGGCGCCCAGGGCTCAGGACAGCTCCCTGTCTCCACAGTACGTGCTGGCCGTCGGCAGCTCCGTCTTCTACGCCATGTTCTACGGGGACCTGGCAGAGGTGAAGTCGGAGATCCACATTCCCGACGTCGAGCCTGCGGCTTTCCTGATCATGTTGAAGTAAGTGCACGCCACTAGCTGCAAGGCCGGGGGGTGCTTTGTTGCCTGCTGCCCCACAGCCCGCGCCCTGCGGGGAGGCCCGCGAGGACTGATGGGCTTGTCTCCCAGGCGCTGGGTGCCCGGTGCGCCCACAGCACCTCTGACGCAGTCCCCGCCCTGCCTAGGTACATGTACAGTGATGAGATTGATCTGGAAGCAGACACAGTGCTGGCCACTCTCTACGCTGCCAAGAAGTACATTGTCCCCGCGTTAGCAAAAGCCTGTGTCCACTTTCTGGAGACAAGCCTAGAAGCCAAGAATGCCTGTGTCCTGCTGTCTCAGAGCCGGCTGTTTGAGGAGCCCGAGCTGACCCAGCGCTGCTGGGAGGTCATCGACGCGCAGGCTGAGATGGCCCTGAGGTCTGAGGGCTTCTGTGAGATAGACTGGCAGACCCTGGAGATCATTGTTGCTCGGGAGGCCCTCAACACCAAGGAGGCGGTGGTCTTCGAGGCCGTGCTGAACTGGGCCGAGGCAGAGTGCAAGAGGCAGGGCCTGCCGGTCACCCCACGCAACAAGAGGCATGTTTTGGGGCCAGTCCTCTACCTGGTCCGAATTCCAACCATGACACTGGAGGAGTTTGCCAATGGCGCTGCCCAGTCGGACATCTTGACCCTGGAGGAGACCCACAACATCTTCCTGTGGTACACGGCGGCCAACAAGCCCCTGCTGGATTTCCCACTGACCAAGAGGAAGGGCCTGGCCCCGCAGCGGTGCCACCGCTTCCAGTCCTCCGCCTACCGCAGCAACCAGTGGCGCTACCGCGGGCGCTGCGACAGCATCCAGTTTGCGGCAGACAGGAGGGTGTTTGTTGCGGGGCTGGGCCTGTACGGGTCCAGCTCCGGGAAAGCCGAGTACAGTGTGAAGATCGAGCTCAAGCGGCTGGGGGTGGTCCTGGCCCAGAACCTGACCAGGTTTGTCTCCGACGGCTCCAGCAGCACCTTCTCGGTCTGGTTCGAGCACCCGGTGCAGGTGGAACAGGACACCTTCTACACGGCCAGCGCCGTGCTGGACGGCAGCGAGCTCAGCTACTTTGGGCAGGAGGGCATGACGGAGGTGCAGTGCGGGAAGGTGACCTTCCAGTTCCAGTGCTCTTCGGACAGCACCAACGGCACCGGGGTCCAGGGCGGGCAGATCCCCGAGCTCATCTTCTACGCCTGAGGCGCCGCAGGTGGGCGGGCCGCGGGGTGCGGGGAGGGCGGTAGCGCTCTTTCTCCGCGGCAGCTGACAGGCTTCGTGAACTTGGCAAATCTTTTGTACATGGTTGGCTGTAGCCAAATGTATGAAATGGGCGTTTTCTACACAGCTGGAGCCTGTTTCCAAACACTGGTGATCGGGCCTCACAGCGGTTCCTACTTTGCACGTCGCGGTGCGTGTGGCAGGCGGAGGGCGGGTCCGGGGCAGGGGGCAGCCCAGCAGTCCCTCCCGCGCTCTCGGGTTTTATTTTAAGTGGTTCTAAGCCTGAGACCTTCCCTTCAAACCCAAAACCTGGGAAGAGTCATTTCCAATAGCTTATCTTGAGTTTAAATAAAGCGAGAGCCACACACAAAGGAGTAATGTTCGCGTTCTCGCCAGCCCACCAGCAGAGGAAACCTGCAGTGCTGAACGCCGCTGGGTTAGAAGCCAACTGCAGCCCAGGGAAGCCTGCAGCCAGGCTGCGCCTCCCCCATCTGGGCAGACCTGCCTCCCCAGGCTGCAGCCAGAATGCTCTGCAAGAGGCCAGGAGTCTTGCACTTGCTCAATAAGCATCACAAGCTGCTCAGACAAAGCCTCACTGTATGACGAGGAGCTGGGGTGGGGGCCCTCGTGGGGCCCGGCTCCAGCCTGCGGACGCCCCCACCCGGGTGCACTGCAAGCAAGGCAGGCTCTGTCCTCCCACAATGCACGCTCCCTGCGCTGCGGTTTGGTTTCTGGAAAACCTCGGCATGATCCCCCGGGCAGGGGAGGGACTGTGTCACCCGGCAGAGATGTGGCTTCTCGGCAGGGCCCTCCCCGCCCTGCAGCCCCTCCAGCCTCCCAGCCCACCCTGTGGGCCCTGCCTCCCCCCCCCCGGCCCCAGGAGATGCACTTCGGGATGGTGAGGGCACAGGAAGGAGCGGCTGGTCGGGCAGGCTGCAAACCGGCCTCCCGGCAGCACTGCCCGAGCCGGCCGCTCGCTGTGCCGGGGCCCGGACTGGCCCGAGGTAGTGGCTGCCGGCTGTTGCCTCACAAGGCCGCGACACAAGGCCCCGCAACGCACCAGCGCCCCTGCTTCCCTGTGCCCCCCGCCCACACCTGCGGGAGACTGACCTCGGCACGCCGGCTGTCAATCCGAAGCAGCCGCCACCCCGACAGGCTCCCCGACGCGCCGCTCACCTGGCCGTGTCCGTGCACGGCCGCACGGCCCCCCGGGCAGCACCGGCCCCGTACCTATCGCCGGCGCGTTGATGCAGAGCTCTCTCGCCAAGAGCAGGAACGTCTTGCCCAGCACGTACACGTTCACCTGTTGCAAAGAGCCACCAGGGGGTGGCGTCTGTGTTTAGGAAATGCCTGTTGTTTCCCCTTAAAGTGCACATTTCGTGTTCCTCTTCAAAGAACCTAGGCCCTGGCTGGTGGGGCTCAGGGGACCAGGTGCCAGCCTGCGAACCAGGAGGGTTGCTGGCTCGATTCCCAGTCAGGGCACAGGCCTGGGTCATAGGCCGGGTCCCCAGCAGAGGGCACGTGACAGGCAGCCACACAGGGATGTTTCTCTCCCTCTCCTCCTCCCTCCCTTCCCCTCTCTAAAAATAAAAATCTTAAAAATAAGTAACTCCAGGTCAGCCCCCTGCGCGTCCCCTGCCCCGGGGCCTGGGCCCCCCGGCCGGCTCCCTTGCCTGGTCCAGCCCGGCCGTGGGCCCGGCCCAGCGCCTGCGGGGCCACCAGGACACACAAGGCCTCGGCGTCCACCCTGGGCGCTGAGAGACGAGGGGGCGGCCTCCACCCCTGCTGGGCACAGTCCCCCTCTGCCTGCTGCTCTCGGGTCCCCTGAAGGCTCCCGGGGACGCCAGCGGGAGGGCCTCCTGCCACCCTGCCCCACGTCCCAGGCGGGGAGGGCGCGGGGGCTGAGGGGGGGCTCCCTGACCGGGCTCCGAGGGCAGGCCGAGCGCCAGCGGGGAAGCGCTCGCACACAGGCTGCCCCTGCCAGAGCGGCTGCCCCTCCGCTGGGCCCATCGCACGTCGGACGGACTCTGCAGCTAAGGGCCACTGTTTGCAGCTCATCTGTGGGCGGCTGGTCACCGCTGGGTGTGGCCGGCCAGCCCTCCCCGCTGCTCCCAAGGACGGGCAGGCTCTGCACACACAAGGCCCCAGCCCCGCCTCTGAGGGGCCGTGCCCAGGCCGGGCGCCCGTCGGCTGCGCCGCGGGACAAGGGGCCTCCCGACGGCACCCACGGGCGCAGCGGGCGCTGGGCCGCCCCACAGCTCCGGCTGGAGGGTGTTCACTGTGAGCTCCACCAGGGAGCACAGGACCAGAGCGAGACCCCGCACCCGGGAGGCCTCTCCCACTTCGAGGCTCGTTCTCGTTTCCTCCCTCCAGGGTCAGCCCGGTGAGTCCCGCGCCCAGCCCGCCCGTGGGTGCCGAGGGTCGGGGCTGAGCCAGCCGCCCGCGTGTGTCCAGCCTGAACTTGCAGGTCAGCCCAGCGACTCCCCAGGTGCGGCCCCGAGTGGGCAGAGACGTCCACCCCAGCCACCCTCCGTGTGGGCGCCTGACTGGTTCCCTGTCCCCAAGGCTGTGAAGTGAGGCGCCAGCACAACGCTCCCGCCCTGAAGGCAGGGCCCAAGCCCTTCCTGGACGGCAGTCTGGCTGGCCTCTCACGTCCTTCCCAGGCCGTCGCCCGATGCAAAGGGAGCCACGCAGCTCTGCCCTGGACTGCGCACGGTACGGGAGGGCTGGCGTCTCACGATTCCAGGGGGCTGTTCTGAGCAGGGCCCCGGGAGGCGCCAGGCGTGAGGACAGAAATGGAGGCGGCCCCGACGCTGGTCGGCCCAGCGCCTGTAGGGGGCCTGGACCGGAACGAGCTCCCCCGCGGGGGCGGGATGCGTGCGGCTCTGCACGAACTCTCACACTGCAGCCGCGTCTGTTCTCACGGCCACAACTTCTCGTTCCGGGTCCTCCGTGGAGTGATCCCCCGGGCCCAGCCCCATGGCGTGGGGCGCACACAGTGCCTCGAGGTCCTGTCCTGGCACTGCCCGGCCCCGGAGAGTGTCCCGCGCACACGTGTGCCCCTTACTGGGTCTTTCCGTCACGTTCACTCCTTTGGAGATGAGAGATTCAATGGGAAAATGCTTGCCTGGTACCAGAAGGCAAGTTTCTCTCAATGGACTGTGAGAACAGGTCAACGTGTTGTTTAAAACGTGTGCCTGCCTGTTTCTTTTAAAGAACTGCCCTTGCCTGAGGCTGAGGCCACCTGGGTCCCACGACCGGCGGGGACAACGCGGGCTGAGCCCAGAGCCCCCCCCGAGACCACGCCTTCGTGGGCCACTCGCCTAGGGACCCTCCCAGCCTGAGGGGAAGGGCTCAGAGGGGCCTGTACCTGGAGCAGGTCGCTGAGGTCGAGGAGCATGTCTGCAGGGCAGGTCAAGGAGCATCTCTCACCCACAGGCCCGTGGAAGCCTAAGCTCAGCGCCGATCGTGAGGGAAGACTGAGGCGGCCGCAGGGTGACCGGAACCTCCCGGAGACGCCTGTGAGCCAGGGCCAGGGCGGAGCGGGCCCTGCCCACGCAGGCGCCCCGTGTCGAGGGACACCCTGCCCGCCGGCTGTGGCCGGCCTCGGTGTGCGGCAGCCTGTGGGTGCTGGGCGGGCGCCCGCCCAGGCCTCAGGGCTCCCGGGGTAGACGCAGGCACTGCCGCTGTGCTGGGGCTGGTCCTCGAGGGGACGGCCGCGGGCCCTGTCCTTGCTCTTAGCACGTGATTCACCCGTGACCAGAACAGGCCCTCGGGGGTTCACAGCCAGGCTGGACACACACACACCCAAAACACAGCTGCTGAACCAGGACTCATCAGACAAAGCAAAGGTGAGCGTCACGCTGGGTCCACGGGGGCTCTAAGAGGTAACTCGGAAAGAGACCCCCAGGGCTGGACCGGAGCCCAAACCAGGGGCCGGAGGGAACTCCCCCGGCTGCAGCCCCCACGAGGTCGGACCCCAGCACCGACCTCGAGGGCCGGGGGGGCAGCCGCCCGACAGGGCACGCCCCCTGCGGGCCCACGGGCTGTGACAGCTGCAAGGACGAGAGAAGAACCGAGGGCAGGCCGGGAAGGCCACACAGGATCGACGCACAGAACTGAGCGCCGCAGAAGGAGGGGAGCGGAGGAGACGAACAAAGCCAGAGCCTGCCGTGGCTCGGCGGTCCCGGCCGGACGGCGCTGTGGGGCAGCGGGGGCTGGAGTGGCAGGAGGGTCAGCAGCCGCCCGGGGTGGGGCGCAAGAGGCCTGCAGGGGCCATGAAACTGCCCCGCGTGATCCCGCCACGGACGGACGGACGGACGGACGGACGTAGGTGAGGCCGTGACGCAGGGTGCACGCGGGCCGGGGGCGGGTGGCAGCATGTGGGGGCTGGAGGGACGGCCCTTCCGGGAACTGCACCGTTCCAGAAAACGAAGCCCAAGTAAAAGTTATAAAATCAAGATAAAAAACAGACAGAGCTTCGACCAGACGCGTAACAGAAGCAAAGAGCCACCCTCCCGGCGGCCTCGCAGGGCGCGCGGCAGCTCCAAGGCCTTGGGAGCGGGCGGCTCACGTGACGGCGCCGGAGGGAGGCCGAGCCCCGAGCGAGGAGCCCACGCCACAGCAGGCCCCGCCGGCTGCCCCGCGCAGGAGTCGCCGGGGTGGGGACAGCGCGGGGAGGCGCCCCCGTCCCAGCTGCCGCCGCCTTTATCATGTCAAGGACAGGCCTCTCCCCACCCACAGCACCGACGCGCAGCCGTGCAGCCAACAGGCACCCAAAGGCAGACGACACTGAAAGCCCTCGCTTCTCCAGGAAGCGGCGAAGAGGGAGCGGACAGAGCGCAAGCGGTCAAACCCGGGACTCGGCCGCACCAGGCGGGCGTTAGTGTGGGTGCACGAGACCCTCCAAGTGGAGCAGCTCAGACTGGGCCAGAAACCCGACAGGAAGACGCCCTCGCACGCGCCTCCGAGTGACGCGCCCTCAGCACGGCGAGGAGGCCGGCCGACGGGACGGAGAGGGTGCCCAGGCGCTGACCGAGGCGCGGGGCCGCCTCCCTCGGCTCCCGCAGGGCCGGCCTTCGCGGAGAGCGGTCCGTGGCAGAGAGGGCATTTCCTGGTGCCACGAGGGTCACGCCCCCAGGACAACCCCCAGTTTGTATCCTGGGGACACGGCTTCTGGAAGTGCCAGGGAGCGGGAGACGCGGGGGGAGGCCGCCGCGCGGGCAGCAGGGGCGGAAGGTCTCAGCCCTCCCTGGCACAGCCCCGCGCGGGGGGCACGGGGCCCAGGCGGGGCGCCCTGGCCGGCACGACCAGCCCGACCCCGCGACACCTGCGCAGCGCAGCCCCCAGCCGAAGGCCTGAGCCGCCAGAACCGACGCCGCCGAGCTGCCAACAGCCTCTCGGCTCACGGGGGAGGGGTCTCTCCGGCACGTCCTCAGAGTGCGCCTTCGAAATGAGCAACGGCTTCCAAACGAGTCCAGGGCACAAGAAGTAACCATGCAAATTAGAAGATATGCTGAACTGAAAGACACATCAAAACCGGTGACGTCGCCTGGCAGGATGGCTCGGCGGGCTGGAGCGCCGTCCCGTGGCTGAA